AATCGATAGAGAATTAAATTGTCTACAAAATGGTTTATTTACTTTTGAGTTCTGACTTTTTCAAAAATTTCTGCAAATAAAATAAAATCATAGAAAAACGTCACGGAATTACGTACGCAGGTAGCGTTAGCTGGCCAGGCCGATATAATGGAGTATCATATAAAGTATCATACGCCGATTTAATATCTCTGCGAACTTGGCATCTCTGCAACATTTTAACGAACTCTCTTGTATTGAAAGTTGTTGAGGGCTTCTTTCTGTGTATGTAGTCACTCTTCATTATGAACGTCAGATACGAAATCGGACATCAATTGAGCATGATGCAGTGTTATGGCTCTCAAACGGCAGAAAATTCTTAAAATTTTGCTCCAGTCGAATCTGAAATGTATGTTACCATGTGTTTTAAAAAAGTCTAGTTTCAAAAACTTGTAATAATAAGGCTGAGAAAACTGTAAACTTTGATTATAAGTTTGATCAGTCCTTGTGATTTTCTACTCATCGTTTTAGCTGGATTCAGTCATCCGTAGCGGTTGTGTTAATAGTTACAAGGCGGTATGCATAAAAAGCAAAAAAATGTTCTTGTGTGAAAATAATATTACCCATTTTGCACTAAAATCGAGTTGAAGAAAACTACACCAGGAATGGTAACAATTATTCCACAACACTCGGGACCGATTCTGGCTAATCCATCTGTGAGAGATGAGATGGTGGATGCACAAACGCCTTTCGTCCAAGGGTCCAATAGTAAACGTGCTGCTGAGAAACCTATGCGTACTGTCTTCGACGCGGAGCAATTCAAAAAATTATCATTCTATCGAGCGTTATTAGCCGAATTTATCGGTACCATGTGCCTTGTATTCGGTCTTTGTAGTACAAATTTACTACCAGGTATGCAGCCGGTGTCAGCGTTAAGCAATATTTTAACATCTGGATTACTTGTATCGACATTAGTCGTTTGTTTCGGACACGTATCAGGGTGCCATATAAATCCGGCCGTCACGATCGCCTTATTAGTTGGACGTCAGATTGAACTCCTTCGAACAATCTGTTATATAATCATGCAGTTACTAGGCGCTACATGTGGCACACTTCTTCTGAAACTATTTGCTGCACCATCTGCACAAAAACATCTTTGTGTGACAATGATCACTGAAGGAATGAGCATTCAACAAGCAATTTGTATGGAGTTCTTTGCCACATTTATGCTCTGTTCAACTGTATTTGCTGTGATGGATGAATACAGGAATGATGTTGGTGGATCGAAAGCACTCACAATCGGTCTAGCAGTGAGTGTTTCTACTGCCATTGGTGGGCCTTATACAGGTGCATCTCTAAACCCGGCAAGATCGTTTGGACCAGCACTGGTCAATTGGTATTGGACTAATCACTGGATTTACTGGTTCGCACCAATAAGCGCCGGTATTACAGCAGCCATTACCTATAATTATCTACTCAAACATCGCATTTCAGTGCCTGGAAAACATCGATTCTCTCGTTGGTAGTTCTAGAGTATATAATTTTTTTAAAACATTGAAACCAAAAAGTAAAATACAAGTACACAAATGCAGCATAGTAGTACCGAAGTACATATCTCTCTGAGCACACAGAGACCTTTCGTCTCTATCCGACCTAGAAAAGATGAAGTTTAGTTCTAAACACTAAGTTGCATTTTGGAAGCGAAAACTCGACTCTCTCTTTCAACCGCGATTAGTTGCCGAACATCTTTATGGAAACCTTATGTGGAAAACTGTACTTGTAATCAGAAAAATACAGGATAAGCTACAGCATCTTACGCACTCAGATTGGGCTTCAAAGTCACAATGAACATGAGATACTTGCGATGATCTACCCTACAGCGTACTACAAAGAAGAACCTTCGAATATTCAACTTTTTGTACTGTCTGAGAAAACTTAGAAAATGATCAAAAACCGCTAAAATAAGAGGTACTAAAGCATACACTTCATCCATCTATGCTAGTATCATTCGCACCCAGATAAACTTTCAAAGGTAAAATAGTACAACAATAATAATGATAATAATTAGAACGTAAATACGCTGGATAAGCATTGTAAAGACACAAAAGAGCATCATCTATGTATCGCTTCAAGGATTATCTACCTCGTCATCGTGCAAATCAGAATTATATTAGCCTACTAAATAATCCGCAAAATGGCGAGGATTTGAAACTCGAAGCATTGAAATTCATCGTTCTGACTGTCAAGAAAAAGCGAGAATTACCCGACTTTTTTATCAAAATTCTAATCGAAAATCTAAATAATATCGATGATAAATTGAAAAATTTTGTCATTATGATTTTGAGAATTGTTTCTCGAAGTCAAATGATACTAGAGCTTGATAAAATGTCGACTAAATTATTAGACAATCGGGTAATAGTTGGAGAAGGAGTTGATATTACTTTCGAGGATCGTTCAGAATATAACTCTGATTGTCAATCGATTTCATTTATAGTAGCTCAGATCTTTGTCAAATTTTTACAAAAAGAGACTGTAAAGATTACCGACTGTCATCAGCTAAAGAGTCTATCCCAGCAAGTCATATTCAGTTTTTGCCAAAAATTTGCGCATTTGAAGACTTAAAACTAGATGAGAAAAGTTTACCAATATAGTCAATAAAAACATTCTTTATTATTGAACGAAGCCGAAAATCAACAATTTGAAGATAATTAATATATTTGAAATTTTCGATTATATTTTATTGTTCGAAAATCGCAACCAAGCAGAAGCAATCGAAATATTTCGTAAATATTCCGTGAATAAATATTTTATTTCAGAGTACAATTTTCACATTAGAAAATGTAGTTTGTATGTCTGAATTTTCTAATCAAGTTTTAGAAGTATTTGAGAAAATTATTTAAAATGAGCTAATGGTTAGTGAAAAAGTGCTACATATTATTGCTGATAAACTTTATTTATCTGACGCTGATCAATTAAGAGATAGGTCGTTTCAGTTACTAGGTTTAGCCAATGATAATCAAGATATACCAGATGAACTGTTTGATATATTAGAATTTGAAAGGACTAGTCTTAATATTGCTTCAGCCTTACCGGATAGTGATGGTGCTACTTCTTATTTATACTCAAAGACAAAGGAGGGACAGAAATTATCAATTAATGGATTTCGATGTCTAAGTAAATCGATCGTTAATCAGTTTGTATTCAACGAAGAATTCTTGAAAATTTTATTGAACGTTTCTAATGAAGGGCAAATAATACCTTATGAGTTTATTGACAAGCTTGTAAAAAGATTCAATCCTAAACAAAAACAAAATCACTTAATTAAAATTTTTGAAAACTTAGTTAAAAATAATCATAATAATTTTTTGCCTGAATATATAAACGTATCCAACTTGTCTTCACTGGAGAAAGATAACCTAGATGTTATTCATAAAAGTCTGAATGGATTAAAAACACTTATTTCAGTTCACGAAGTTAAACTTCAAAAGAAAAGCATAGAAGCTCTGGTAAGTCTAGCAACAAAGGCCATTTGTGATGAAAACATGAAACAGGAAATTAAGATGATATCAGATAAATCAGAACTAAACTATGACAACGTTTTTGGGTGAGAACAGACGGCAAATGGTTTCAGATGCAAAATCGTTCAAAAAAGTTCAGTCATTTTTGGAGTTGTTTAGGCTATTTTCAAAAGGATTTTGATATTTTTGTGCTGGTAAATAAGAGTTAAACAAATGTTTACCTTAAAATCTTGAAATCTTGACATTTTACTAAGAAAATACTAGGGAAAGTTTTCAAAGTGAAGGGTTCCTGATAGGTTTGGCACATCGACTGTTTCAGAGAGATTTCTAAAAGGAAGAGAACTTCTGATATTAAGGACTTCTATCACAGAAGGTGTGGTTATATTAATACTGCTTCGTGACAGTTGGCGAAGTCCACCCTACTTTCGCCGCCACAACTCTCGAATTTCTTCAATTGGCGGAAGTACATCCTCACTCTCGCCACCATACCCGTTAGGATCTGATAAATTAGCGAAAATACAGTGGCCTTTTGCCAATATATCACTGTACCTGCGCGATTGACGAATGTCCTATTAGTGAAGTTCCGACTATCCGTTACTTTAATAATATAACAGTCTCTGGCAAGGACGTCGTTTATATTGTAAACGCAGACAAAATGCCACGAGAACGGTGTAACGGCTGTAAAGACAGCTTATTGTCCATTGCTTTTTCTTAGGTATATAACTGAGATAGTAGAAAGTTTTCATGTCTGATCTCTTTTTTAGTAATTTTCTGTTTATGGATTCCTGAGAGTAGAGAAATAGAGCTTTCGATCTTGAGACTTTATTGCATGCAATGGTAATACATCATAACCGTATGAATTTGGTAAGATTCTGGACCTCTCGAATCCCAAGTGACCCACGAAACCACAAGAAATAAGAACTTATGAGAATGTGAGTGTGGGTGTAGGTTCGATATAACTAAATGAACGCCTTCACTTATACCCTTCCAGACTTGCTAAACAAATAGCCATGAACTAGACGGAATTCTTTGTTTTTCTGTCGTTGCTGGGGTTTTCCTCGATCTGCTTTTTACTTTAGTAACTACTTAAACTAACCAGTATATACACGTTTTCCGCGAGTTGTGGATGTAAGTGTTTAGGTCTAAATTCACCTACGGCCACAGCGTGTATATCTCGTTCACATTCGCATCCTAAAAAACTGTAGTCCGATTAATTAAAAGTAGAAGTTGGAATTTGACTTTTTTATATACATTTCGATTTGATGATGATGTGTTCTCTTATCTTCGTTGTCTGCTTTTAGCCACAAATAAGGACTCCACATATCTGAAAGAAAATATGGACTGCTATTTTCTGGTTCATTCATGCAGAATCGAGAAAAGAAGAAATTGACAAAGGTCGCTAGTTTAAAGCATTCGTTTTCCGCAGTTGAATGACATAGCGTTTCTCTTGTTTTAGGACTTAGCTATTTGTCATATATACTCAACATATCTTGCTTTTACAATTATTTCAGGGTTACTGATTTATGAAACACTAAAGTCTGTCTACAAACGTGAGTCTTTTGACTTCTTTGCTCATATGCATATAAATAATTACCTGAAACAGCTGAATTTTTATATAAATTATAACAAGGTAACGCTCGTCTCCACTCGCTCGGTCCCTTGACTTTAATAACCTGGATCTGCGTTACTGAACGCGCTTTTGTGATTTTTAAACCGAAGACAATGCTCACGCCTCCCTTCGGTCGGCGCTCGCTGGGGGCCTGACTAAGCCATCTTCTTGATGTTTTTCTTTTTTCATGTGTAAGGCTCGTAAATATACAAGGCAAAAAGTCCCAGAAGTCTAAAGATATTTCTGAACTCACAGCAATGCTCGCGCCTTCCTTCGGTCGGCGTTCGCAGCCATTATAGCAGAGAAACGCTGTGAACTTCTCTGCTTCCAAGGAAAAACCATCCAATGTAAATAAAGCTAAAAGCTTTTCTGGACACTCTTTACGGATCCTGAGGAG